TCGGAGCCCAACCCGTCCGGGCGCGGCGGCGCCAGGTGAGCAGAACTAGGGGCCACGGGCTGGCTATCCACTCTCCCTAACTTTGACTCCTCCCTCCTGAGGGCCCTGCTTCTTTTCCCGGGACCAGAGCGTGGACACGGGCGTTGCAGGACCGGGGAGTACAGGGGAGTCCACCCGAGCAACTTCGCGGGACCAGGGGGCTGTGTGTCCAAGTGCCCGCTTCCCTGGGGTCCCCAGCGTCGCCTCACGCCCTCCAGTCTCGAGGCCTTCGAACGTGTCCCCGTCTCTGCTCTGCGTGCTGTCGCCTCCTGGCAAGGACGGGCCGCGTCTAGGAGGGTGACCTTTCGGGAGTAGGGGCTGGGCGCCAGCTCTGGCTCGAGTTGGGGTGGTCACTTCTCTGGTTTCAGGCTGGGAAAAGGGCCCCACATTCGGGGACAAGGGGGCCTGCTCTTGGGACGCGCCCGTGGCTGCGCCCAGGGCCCAGGACTGTGGGACCCGGCCGGCCCTTGCGCTCTCCTGGGCCGCGGTTCCCATCTGCGAACCCGGGTTTGGACACGGAGGACACTGCGCTCCCCGATAGCTCCCAGGCCTCGCGCTGCTGTCAGCGGCAGGATCAGACTTCGCTTCGGGTGCGGCTGCGGAGCGGACAGGGTGCTGGGGCCTACGCCCCGAGGCCTGGCTGCGGCTCCCAGCGCTGCAGCTGTGCGGAAACCAGACTGGGGTGCGGGGACGCAGACTTCGGGGGGCCAAGCCACACAGCCCGGCTGCTTCAGCCCCGTCCCTCGTCTGATGCTCAGGCCCTCACTGGACGCAACCAGGAGCCTGGAGGGGCGTCAGCAGTGTGGGCCGGGGCCTCAGAGGCGGTGCTGCTCTGGCCCGGGACGGGGTCCACTGAGGCCTCAGGCGGAGGAGGCCGGAAAGGAGGCCAGGCGGCGCGAAAGGGGGATGATTCATCCCGAGGAGCCCGAATTGGAAACGCCGCAACCTAGGAGCAGCCTTGCCTGGGCCGACGGGAGAGCCGAGCCGGAGTCGTCCGTGAGGCCCGGCGCGCAGCACCACAGCACCGCAGCCCCCTGGCTTGTGCCGGGCCGCCGGGGGTGGGGGAGGCCTCTTCTGGAGGAGTTGAGAAAAATCCTGGACAAAGTCTGCCGCTACCTCTTCCTGTGCTCGGTCAGGGCGGTCTTCCCGGAGTCTAGCTCGAATCTCTCCTGCTGCAGCCCCGGCGCTGAGTGAGGAAGTCTGAAAGGAGGGGGCAGGAAGGAGAGCTGCAGTCAGTGGCGCCCCCTCCTTCCCGCGCTGCGGTACGTGGATCGCAGGGTGGGGAGCGCGCAGCGACCCCCGCGGACCCGGCGACCT